ATAGGCGAACGCAAATCCCCTTATGTGGCAGTAGTGTGTACAATAATGGCATTCCAAATACTATTTTGGTCGTAGTTCCTAACATCAAATTAAAAACTGTATCTGTATATATACATGCTCGATTATATATTTTTTTATTAATATAAACTCTTACAATACTTTAGACTATAATAATAATTTTAATTCTCTAATTGTTTTTAAATTTTTTTTCTGTTTTCAATGTACTTTAATTATTAGTTAATAACTAATACATTTCTATTTTGTCGTATATATTATGTTGTTTGAAAAATTTGGCAGTAAATAGCATGAATATTTATGAATATGTCTTTTAAATAAATCTGAATGTTTGTTTAGCAAATTATGGCAAAAAGAATGATTGAAATATATATTTAAATTTAAAATCTTAATCTAGTGACTTATTTTGCAAAAGTGCTCCATGATAAATTAAAGTGCATTAAAACATTTTAAAATCAGAGAATGCTAATTAAATATAAAGCTAAAGTAAATATATATTAGGGTGGTCCTTGACTATGGACATTTTCGAATTTCCTTGCTCCCAAGGGCTCAAATGGTTCCAAAATAATAGAAAAAATCTTCAAAAAGTTTTAGCTTTAATTATTAACATTTAGATAGTCCGCAATTCAATTAAAAGTTTCGTATATTCATTATTCTTGCGCCAAATATAATATTTAACCTCTAATTAAATCCACGTGGATTGTTTAACGAAATATTTATTCATCATGGCATCAAAATAATTTTGCAGCAAAATATTTATTAAATTATCAGTAATAAATTGCCATCAAAATTACAAGTCCGCTATCACAGATGGCGCAAGAATTATACTTAATAATAAAATATACGATAAATATTACGAGCTAAAACTTTTTGAGGATTATTAACTTATTTGAAAATTTTTACATTTCTCGACGTTTTGAAGGTGTGTGAAACGTTTTGGCATATCTCAGAAAAAATGGATGTGTGTGTGTGTGTGTATGTATGGATACAAATTCCAGTCACGTTTTCGGGCGCACGGATCAACCGATTGAATGGTTCAAAAAACATTCGATTTCTATTGATCGGGAAAAGAGCTGATTAGTTTTTGGCAAAGGCAGGTCCAGCCGTTTCGGAGATATGAGCAAAGAGTGCAGGAAATAGAAATCGAATTTGAGAGGAACGGAGTATCCGATTTGAATGATCTAAAAAAACATTCAATTAGTAATGATTGGGAGAAAGTGTTATTAGTTTTTGGCGAAGGCAGGCCCAGCCATTTGAAGATACGGAGCTAAAATGTAAAAAATGCAGTTTTTGAGAGGAAATAAGCGTCCGATTTAAATGGATTCAAAGAACTTTCTGCTTGTCTTAACAAAATAATTGATTTTGGAAAAAAAAATTGTTCCATTTTTTTTTTTTTTTAGTTTTTTGTATATCGAAAATATTTCAGATTTTATTTTTAATTCTGACTATAGTTCTAATATACTTTACAAATAAATTTAACTCTGCAATTCAGTTTATATAATTCTTATAAAATATTAGACAATGTTACAATATTATAATAATCTATTTGAAAATATTCAGTATTACTCGAACATTTCGTTCGGTACGGGAAGTTCCAGCATTTGCCTTAAGGCACGATGCCAAATTGCCT